TGCCGGGTGAGTTAAAGCTGATCGAATCCCCCACCGTGGGGTATCCTCTCACCTGAGAAACACAACCACTTGTGTTTTATGGCCGCGAGTTCTGATTGCTGGTCACTGTGCCAATCCTGCTGTGCTGCTCCTCAGAATGAGAGTCCTCCCGGCGCTGCCATCTTGCCCCTGGTTATGAGAAATATTTTTGTTTCCTCTTTATGAGCCCCAAATAGCTGGAGAAGCATAGTTTTAAAGTCTTTTTCTTGTGTATCTAGGAAATTGAAGTGTCCATTGATTTGGGGGTTCCTGGAGAAGCCATGATGTCCTGATTTTTGTTGGGTGTGTTCTTACGTCGGCCTCTGGCCATCTCCTTATCTGTAACCCTCACTGTTTGTTCCTGGAATCTGTACTTCAGACTAAGACCGTCTTTTTCTGGTTTCTGGATTGTTTTTCAAGAAGATGAGAGAGGTTCACTGGTTGGGAGTGTGCCTTGTGGTTTTAGCTTTACCTAAGTGAGGAATGTGATGGTGGCGCTATTCGCAGGTGCTTTTACTGGGGCACAGTGTGCATGCGTGGATTTTCTGACTATAGCAGTGTTCTACAGGCCACTGGTTTGCAGCATTGTCTGGGATCTAGGAATTGTTTGCCTGGAATTCGCTCATAGACCCGCAAAGCAGAGGGTTCAGTGTTGGGATCGCTGTCCCAAGAATCCCTATGATGCCCACACTAGGGGTGTGAGTGGTAGGGATCTGTTGTCTGGTGCCTTGTGTAGAGCGGCCCTGGATCTGGGGCTCTGCAAACACTCCCTTGAAGGCACACCCACTCTCTTGCAGGACCAGTTGGAAAGCACAGGGGTTCCCCTTGTTCTATACTCTCCAATTTGATCCTGCTGGGGCAAATGCGGGTGTAGGCTAACAGTCAGCTCAGTGGTGCTGTAGCAGCAGGTCTTGGTGTCCATCTGCACTGTGTGCTGTTCTGGGTGCAGCCCATGCTGGGGCTCCGGCATTTTGGTCTGTGTTGGACTCTGCAGGCCCCTTCTGTATCCTTCTCCTCCACCAGGGAATGATTTTGGTGGCTGGTCCTGGGGAAGTGCTGGGGTGGGTGTGGGTGGGGAGAGCGGGGACTGAATCTTCTCTGTCCGAGATCCCAAGGCCAGGGCCCAGGTGCTGTGGTCTGTGGTGGAATCCACAGGCCACCTCTCTGTCCTTCCCCTCCGCCAGGGAAGGCTTATGGCAGTTGGTCCCAGGGGTGGGGGGGGCGGGGTGTATGGGAGTTGAGTATCCTCAGTCCCAGATCCTGAGCCTGGGTATCTCTGCCAGAAGCCGCCCAGCACTGGAGCTTATGGCGGCTGGTCCTGGGGAAGTGCCAGGTAGGGTTGAGTGTCCTCAATCCCAAGTCCTGAGACTGGGTTTCTTTGCCAGGGGCCGCTGGCTGCACTGCAGCCCAGGTGCTGTGGCCTGTGGTGGAATCCACAGGCCGTCTCTGTCTTTCCCCTCCACCAGGGTAAGCTTATGGCGGCTGTCACAGGGGAGTGCCAGGAAAGGTTGGGTATTCTCAGTCCCAGATCCTGAGCCAGGGTTTCTCTGCCAGAATCCGCCGGTGCTGGAGCTTATTGTGGCCAGTCCCAGGGAAGGGTCTGGTACCAGGAAGGGTTGAATGACCTGAGTCCCAGGTCCCGATCCAGGGTTTGTTTGCTAGGAGCAGCCATCTGTGCTGGAGCCCAGGAGCTATGGTCTGTGGCAGAACCTGCAGTGCGCCTCTCTATCCTTCTGCTCTGCCAGGGCAGGTTTATGGCTGCGGTCTTGGGGTTGTGCCCGGAAGGTTTGGGTATTCTCAGTCCCAGATCTTGAGCCGGGATTTCTTTGGCAGGAGCCACCACTGTCGCTGGGGCACTGGCACTGGTCTGTGGCGGATTCTGCTGTCCGCCTCCTCTGCCTTCTCCAAAGAGGAAATAGAGTTGGATATGGGGAAGTGCCTAGGGATCAAGTCCCAGGAGGGGTCTGCTGTGACCTGATTCTAGATGGACTCAGTTCATGGTTAGTCTCTTTCTCCCTGGAAGCCTAGATAACTCTGTTCTGGGTTCAGCAGCCCCTTCACTCACCAATTTTGGTGTTTTAGGTCCTTTGACCCTCAGATAAGGTGCACGCTAGTCGCCACCATCTTGGATCCCCCCCTTTCTTCTTTATGTTAGCCCCAGACTCATGCTTCTTGCATGTAGAGAAATCTTCTATACTATTATTTTTAGAAGTTAAGGCCATACTAGCTTAAAAAACCTGCATGTTAATTCTTTCCAGCTGAAATCACCTAAGGCACAATAACTCCAGAAAAAATTATCCAGCCTGATTTTTTTTTCTACATGTAGCAAGCAATAAAAAATTAAGAGCTGAGGGAAATGTGTCACCATATATCAAAGTGAGAAAGTAGAATTGTAAGTAGAGTTTTAAAGACCCTGAATGAATATTCATTGGAGTAACCCTTTTAGCTACACACACAAACGCACACCTCCTACTCATATCCTTAAGTCTTCCTGCTTGTTCATCTTAGCATTCCTTTACAAATATGTTGTTCTTTGTCTAAAAAGTATAAAGCATTAAGCTTTTATGATTTCTTTAGAATTATTTTCTTCCTATGTACCCATATAGGAACATATAAAATAGCAATATATAATAAAACTCATATGTTTTTCTCATGTATGTATGTCTTCTGCTTATTGCATACTGGGAAATAAGTATAGAATACTTATTGAGTTCTTAGGCTCATCTAAAGATTCCATAGAGCCAGGAGAAAGGCAAAAGTGATCTCTTTCTCTTCTGCAAAACTGTCTTTTTAAAGAAGAAAAAATACCCATGACCACTTTTTTGTGAGTTTTCAGGTGAAGGCTGCAAAGGACAAAGAATTTCTGAGAAGTATTAACAGTTATAACTTGTATAAATTCTAGTTCTAATATCAATATTTATATTTAGTCCAGCAAGCACAAAATATTTTTTCATGTATGAATATTTTATTGAATATGGTTGTTTGCTTTTTTACTTTTTTAATTATTTAATTATTATAAATTTATTATAACTTAGTGCTGTAGCCCTCCTCATCTCCTCCCAGGCCCACTCTCCCTCCCTTTTCTCCCCCTATGCTCCTCCTCTAGTTCACTGATATGGGAGGTCCTCTTCCCCTTCTATTTGAGCCTAGCCTATCAGGTCTCATGAAGGCTGGCTGCATCATCAACTTTTGTGGCTGGCAAGGATGCACCCTCCAGGGAGAGATGATCAAGGAGTCTGCCATTGACTTCATATCAGAGACAGCCCCTGCTCCCCTTACTAGGGAACCAACCTGGAAACTGAGCAGCCCATGGGCTTCATCTGAGCAGGGGTTCTAGGTCCTCTCCATGCATGGTCCTTGGTTGGAGTATTGGTCTCTGCAACCCCCCACCCCAAGCCCACATTGGTATCCTGTGGAGCTCCTGTCTCCTCCAGGTCTTTTTATCTCATCCTTCTTCCATAAGGTTCTCTGCAATCTGCCCAAACTTTGGCTATAAGTCTCTAGAAAAGATCATCCTGAATCAGGTAACCCAGAAGCAGAAAGACACAGATGGTATATACTCACTTATAAGTGGATATTAGCCATATAATATAGGCTAAACATATTAAATCTGTAGTCCTAAAGAAGTTAAACAACAAGGAGGACCCTTGGGAAGAGGCTGAAACCTCATTCAGAAGGGCAAACAGTATAGACATTGGAAGTAGGAGAAGACAGGGAACAGGACAGGATCCTTCCACAGGGGTCCTCTGAAAGACTCTACACATCAGGGTATCAAAAGAGATGCTGAGACACACAAAAATATTTGTGGATTATTCTTCTGAAGCTATTAGACTTTCGAATGCTCATCATCAACCTGCTAACTAGACAATTTCTGGGCAGTATTTCAATGTGAATAGGGGTCATGGCCGAGAAGAGTTGGGTAAATATGCAAGGATCTAGAACTGGTGGAAATACGGATAGGATTTTGAGGTAAGAGATTCAAAGACTCACTGCACAAACTGTGTGTTTATGTTTTTCATTAATGAGTTAATGTGTCTTTCAAAAAGTTTCTAAGGGATAATATCCAGAATATATTAAAAAAATCTAAAGAAGTTAAAAAGCAACACATCAAGTAATCCAATTAAAAAGTGGGGTACAGAGCTAAACAGAGAATTCTCTGTAGAGGAATACAGAATAGCAGAGAAACACTTAAAGAAATGCTCAACATCCTTAGTCATCAGGGAGATGCAAATCAAAACGACCCTGAGATTTCACCTTACACCCATCAGAATGGCTAAGATCAAAAACTCAAGTGACAACACATGCTGGAGAGGTTGTGGAGAAAGGGGAACCCTCCTCCATTGCTGGTGGGAATACAAACTTGTACAACTTTGGAAATCAATCTGGTGCTTTCTCAGACAATTAGGAGTAGAGCTTCCTCAAGATCCTTCTATACCAAAAAAAAAAAAAAAAAAAAAAAAAAAAAGATCCTGCAATACCACTCCTAGGCATCTATCTAAAATATGCTCAAGTACATAACAAAGACATTTGTTCAACCACATTCGTAGCAGCTTTATTCATAATAGCCAGAACCTGGAAACAACCCAGATGTCCCTCAGTTGAGGAATGGATACAGAAATTGTGGTACATTTACACAATGGAATACTACTCAGCAATTAAAAACAAGGAAATCATGAAATTTGCAGGTAAATGGTGGGATCTAGAAATGATCATCCTGGGTGAAATATCCCAGAAGGAGAAAGACACATATGGTATATACTCACTCGTAAGTGGATATTAGATATGTAATATAGGATAATCATACTAAAATCTGTACACTGAAAGAACCTTTTACAGTATTTGAGGTTAAGTTCTTTAACATTTCATTAAGAACATTTTTATCAATATTTTGCACATATATTTGCAGTATTGAGGTTAATCATTTTAATAAATTCAGAAATTAAAATGAAGAATTCTTTTCCTCTCTGTTTATGTGTTCACAGAGATACTGGAGAGAACAGTTTCATTGAAGTGGACTTAGAACTGGCAAGGAATGTCTTCAAGAAGTTAACAGAAGTAAAATGGATTTCTTCCTTGGTAACAACCACTATTTATTTGACTTACATGAGCTGTGGCATAATCACATTTATTTATAGGAATAAATATAACAACAGTTTAGTTTGGTGAAAGGTGAGTAACTGGGGCTGAACAGAGGCCTAGTCTCCATTCTAAAGGTACTTTAGTCCAGACTATGAGAGGTGGTGGCATTTGCTTTTTTATTAAACCATTAAATGCACAGTAGATATAATTTTCTGTCTCCAATATGAAGAAAGTAATATGGAGACATAAAGCTTCTATGAAAAGAACAGTGGTTTGGGAAACAGGATACCCTCTGTGGGGAATGGTTAAAAACACTCAATGCCTGTTTTGAGACGAATCTCAGGTGTATTTCTGCTAATGAATCATCTCTTCTCTACTTTGGGTTTACCTTTTATCTTTACCTACAATTTTAGTTTGTTATTAAGGTTTCTGGTTCTGGGCCACACAGAGGGAAACATACAAACTTAGATTGTGAGTACAGGAAGCTGCAAATTAATAATAGACTGCTATCTGTCGTGGTACCTTGGGACTGCCAAACATAGTGTAATATGGGAGTCTTAAGAACAATAAAAATATCCTTTATAGTTTTGGAGCTGGAATATTTGGAAGCTCTAAGATTAAGGTTCCAACATAACCAGTATCTGATAAGGATCAATTTTTTGGTTAATAGAAGACTATGTCTTTATTTTGAGTTTTCATTAGTAAAAAGAGATAGGGGTCTTATTTATAAGACTCCTAATCCTATTGATAAGGACTGTATTTTTATGACCTAATCATCAACAAATTCTTCGTCTTAATATCATTGCATTGAAGAGTAGGATTTCAACACATGAATTTGAGGGAGACAGATAATCTGTAGCAGAGGAGAGAGAAAGACAAGCTGTATTCACCTTCACTGAAAGCTAGAGACAGGGTTTAAGCACTGATGTATGAGGTTAAGAAAAGGGAGAGAAAGGGCATCTGTGGTCAGAACAAATGGGTTTCTACTGAGATAGATGGAAGGAATGTCTATCTGTGATGTTCTTTTATATAGTTCCTCATTCAGGTACATGTGGTCTGGGTGCTCCTCGGTAATGAAGCTACTTAGAAGGAGTTTATGACAGCTTTGCTTTAATCACTTAAGAGGATCCCTAAAATTTCTGCTTTCTGCCTAGCTATATCTCAATAGACCTCAGTTTACAGTAATTTTTGGAGCTGATGTAGCCCAGTACTAAGGCACTTGCCTAGGATATATGAGCCATAGGCTCACTCTACATTAATCTCCATGCTGTTTAAAAGGATCCAAGTACATTCTACATTTGGAAATGAAAGGGGGAGCTTTTGCTTACTGTGTAGTAAATATTATATTTTCATTATAAAGATAAAGACTAGTAGATGATATTCAGTACATTTGGGCCGTGAGTTTATTTACATGATGAGGAGATAACTGGGGGTGATCCTCTCCATGTAATTTATGAGACATGTTAATATCATGGGAAGATTATGGAAAGGGGTTCTGAATGAAATCCCATGAGAAATGCTACACATTATTATGAATCATGATGCACATTAGTAAATCCAAGACTCCATGATAGAAAAAAATCTAACTTAATATTTATCTTTCTTGGAGTTATTGACATTGTGATGATTTTTTCTGCATTAACACCTACTAGCAATCCACAGAAACTATCATTGATTTGCTCCCTGTTACCCCATAGAAATAGGCCATGGTGAAACACATCACTCAGAAAGTGGAGGCAGAAAGATCAAAGAATTTAAAGTCATTGTCAGCTATGTAACAAGTTTGAGGCTAGCCTGGGTTACATGAGATCCTGTCTCTAAATTATAATAATATAACATAATTGAAATTTAAAATTTCTCTTAGACATGAAAACAACAAATTGTAAGAATATTAAATATAATTTGGTTGCAGTGGTGCACACCTGTAATCCCAGCACTCAGGGAGGCAGAGGCAGGCAGATCTCTGTGAGTTTTAGTCCAGCTTGTTTTACGAGCAAGTCCAGGACAGCAAAGGCTACACAGAGAAACTGTCTCAGGGGAAAAAAAAAAACCAAAAAACCAAAACACAACAAAAAAGAATGTTAAATGTAATAAAATAACACACAGAATCTCATACTTTTATCACTGCATATATCATCTCATTTAGCACTATGAAAAGTATAGGCAGACATGATAGGTAAAAAGTAAGGATTCATTACTAGCTGTTCTGGCAGACAAATTCTGAATTTGAAGGGCCTAATCTAATGAAGATTTATTTTTGTCACAGAAGTCCAAAGAGGGATGGAGGAGGAGGGACTTCTAAATAGGTGTTTTCTTTACTTGAGCTCCAATCCAATGTCTCAAGACCCCTATTTTTAAAATCCTTTATTGGATCTGCTGGGTTTGGTCAAATATTGTGTAAAACTACATGAGAGGCCCTAGAGGCCATACCTGAAAGGACTTTAGATCACCTTCACCTTCAGAAGCTAGGAATCACTCATTCATAAGGCTCCGTCCAACTTCAGGGGACACTGAGAAATGTTATCTGCTGTGACCCAAGAAGGAAAAGAAACAAACTTGGTAAGGTGAACCTAAGACAAAATCTGCAAAGCTGACTTTAGTACAGATAGATACGGATTTGCTCTCTTAAACTGAGTGACTTTCTCTAGTGTCTTTTGATTGAGTCTTTCTTTTTTTCTGTGGGGAAGATTTTGCAAAAAGCAAAAACTGCTTGGAAAGGGCCAGGGAGAAGCTGAGGGAGGGAGGATGGGATTGGGAGGGAATAAGGGAGTGGGATACAGCTGGGATACAGAGTTAATAAAATGTAACTAATAATAATAAACAATAAAAAAGCAAAAACTGCTTTGCAAACAATTATTAGAATGACTTATATATGATCATCTGTTACATGAGCCATACCCAACAGACATTCAAATATAAAGACTAACACACAGACATGCATAGTGGCCCATGACTGTAATCCTAGCACTTGAGAGGTACACAGGAAGATGCATTTTATTTTGCTCTGTTTTCCAAAATAAAACCAAACTACCAGCACACTTCAAATTAGTCATAATATAATTTTTTACATATGTTGTATGGTAAAAGTTTGTTCTTGAATCAATAAGTAACGATTCAGAAATTTTGGTTCTGAAGAAAATAAAGACAAAAGTAGATTTTTTTTTTGTGTATGTGTATCTGTATGTAAGAGAGGGTAAAAGCTTTTTTTTTTCTCTTTTCTTTTTTCTCTCTTTTTTTTTCTTTTTTGACATGATCTCCATATCATAGGCTGTGCTGCATCTCCTTACAGTGACACTGAACTTCTGACACTCTTCTTCTAACTCTTGAGTGTTGCACAACCATACTTGGTTTATATGGTGCTCACAGGGCAAAACTAGGGCTCTGTGCACTGTAGACAAGCTTTTTAAGCAATCAAGCTACCTTTTTGGATTTCTTTTCTATATCACTGAAATTGGTTTTTGAAGTTGTGAATCAATTGCAGTCTTCTGGCTAATGAACTTCACATGTGTGTCACTGCGACTAGCTTACAAAATTGTTTCTGGAGAACTTCACATCAGTTTCAAACCAACTATATTCTAAGTATATACCAACTACATGCGGTTTCACTTTATTTCTTTTATGTACCATACAATAAAATAGGCAGATGGCTCACACGAGTACTGCCTCATGGGTATGCAGAGTGCAAGGGTTGATCAATACTTCATTAGTAAGTTCCAGAATGACTAAATGGATTTTCTAATTGGAAGACAGTGAAATGAAGCTTGTAATCATAACTTGTATTCATTTACAGCACTGTCTTCTGTAGCCCAACCTTGTTCTTTGTCTCCTTTTGACCACAGATCACCACATGTCTTGAGAAGAATCTGCTCAGTGGCCTACCATACAATTCTCCACATCAAGAAGCTCTATTGGTTTTTCTTTTGCTCCCAGAATGTCCTGTGATGCAGGATCCTAAGAATTGGAAAGTCCTGACAGTTGAATTTGCAAGGGCTATTTATAAAATGAATCCACAATCATTAGCATTCCTGAGTAAGTTTTGTGTCATTTTACAAATATATTCTGTGGAATCACTTTTGAAGTAGAAATTGTAGCAGACATTAAACAGACATCATAATACTTTTCTGAGTATGTGAAGTTTTGCAAAAATTAACCAAAAGCTTTTATAACCACCACTGTCATCACACAAAGAGAGTGTTGTTCTTAGACTTGGAAGAACTTGGGCATTAGACTTTGTTAACCACACATACCTTACACTTTTTGGTCACATTTTTGAAACTTCAAACATTTGGCCAAGAGTAATAAAAAGCAAGGTTAAACTTCTTATCATAGTTATTTTATTCAAATTATGGATTTTTTGTAATTTTTAGTGAATGTTGAAGGTCTGATGCTTAAAAAATATAGCGAACTATAAACTATCCCTATGCCATCTTCAAAGGAGTTACAGACTCTAATTTCTGTGTGTAAACATCAAACCTCCTTTTATGGTAGTTGCGAAGATGGCTAAGTAGGTAAGTGCATTTGTTCCAGACTCAGCACCCACATAAAAAGCTGGCATGGTTGTATAAACCTGTAACCCCAGAGCTGCAAGGAACAAAGAGAGGAGAGCTGAGGCTTGATAGCTACCAGACAAGCTCCAGATTCAGTGAAAGACCCTCTGTCAAAGGAACAAGGCATAGAATGATAAATCAAGACATTGGACATCCTGCTCTGTCCTGTGTGCATGTGCACACAAATGCATACACGAGCGTATGACACACACACACTTTTATAATAGCCCTCTTTCAACAACTACTAAGTGTTGCTTAAGGACTGCGTTAAATCATCTCTTAAGGTTCCCAGCACTTTAGCATTGCCAATGCAGAGGCCTGGAAAAACAAACTCCAGCTGGTTCAGAACATGGAATGTGCCATAGACAGTTGCTGGCAATCTGCTGCTGCTATTGATAGTAGTAACGTGTATTTCTACGATGTATATAAACTTATACACGAAAGAAAATCAAGGAAGTACAAGTACAGAATTCATTATTAAACTATGTCCTTTTTATTGGTTGAATAAGCAGTGTTTTTAAAATTAAATATAAAAATTATTTTATTTAAAAATTTAAAAATTATAATTAAGTGAATTTATGTGCATTCAGTGTGTGCCAGATCTGATAGAGTCAAGAAGAGAGTATCACCTGTTCTGGAATTAGAGTGACAGACAGTTGTGAACCATCGTGTGGATGCTAGGAACTGAACCTGGGTTTGCTGCAAAAGTAGCAAGGGCTCTTAACCGTGGAGCCATCACTCCACCCCTGTATTTGCATTTTTTTTTCTGGAGATTTTTCTGGGTGTCAGAGTGAACATATGTAATCCCAGCACTTGGATTTTTTTTTCATTACTAATTAAAAGCATTTATTCACAGTCTCTCATTTGGACTAATGGTTCCTTGGCAGTTGTGCTTTTTACACATTTGACAGTAAAATACTTAATTCCAAGTGTAACAACTTAATTGCTTTGAACTTTGAACGGAGTTACATTACTGTAGATTCTTGACGTTTTCAAAGAGTAGCTCTTATTCATTTGTAAACTGCCTTTTTTGCTAACCATTTGGAAAAGCACGATGATATGTGAATATATACTCTAAGACATAATGCCATAAATAACGATTAAAAAAAAAACCAAAAGTGTATTTTTGTCTGTGGCTGTGAAATTACCCAACCTCACTCCACCACTGCCTCTTCCTTTATATATTTATCTTGTTTATAACTTGTTTACAAAAAATGCTAAATCACCACACAATATTGATTTTCAAACAATCAACTCCATAAATACTTAAACTAAAAGAATTACTTTGGCTGTTTCTGATTCTTACCAAACTTTTTTTACTTTCCAGAGGTTTGTAGTTACAAGGACACCCCTTTAACAGCAGAACCCACATAACTAAATACATTGCAGACTGATCCTTTTCAGTAGAAGTTATCCATTTGTTGAAAAGGTGAGACAGAGAGGACAGTATTGTAAATACACTCCAAAGACTAAAACACGCTACAAGGACATTGGACAATCTGATAGACATGTGTGTTTTATTGCCTATAAAACATTTTTTTTGGTTCAATCAATAAGCAATTATCAAGTTTTTACTTATAGACTTCCCAAAACTTTAACACAATAGTTGATAGTGTGAGTTCACAGAAACACACGGTTTCAAGCCCTGAATTCAGGATTAAGTGACTACTACTGAAGCTGTTTGGTTCCATAGTCAGTTTCTATAGGCAAAAATGGAGCGTGTGCTACTTTTCTCATCTCTGTGATAAAGCATCTTAAAGAAAGAATTAGTTTGGTTTTGTTTCACTTGTTCTTGTGGACTGTTTTTCAGACAGGTCTTGCTATAGTCATGGCTGGCCCAGAACTCCCCAGCTAGAGAAGAATGGCATGAGAACCACACGTTTCATGACACATGTTTGCAAATGTAATCGTTTATTTTGTTGTCTTTTGCCTTGTTTTCTTTGAGATGGGATCTTGTTCTGTACCCCAAGGTGGCTTGGAACTCAGAAATCTCCTTGCCTTGACCTCCTGAACAACAAAATCACAGGTCTGGTTCGGCACATTTCTCTGCTTACGCAGTGCCCCTCCACACACACACACACACACACACACACACACACACACACACACACACACACAATGCTGCAATCAGATCTTTAGTGAACACAGGGCCCTAATGGGAACTAGCAATGCTGAACATTGTACTCTCAGGAATCTTTTCAAATAGGGATTAATTACACAATATGTTCAAAGTTCCTGTGTTATATATTGAATCCCTCCATCATTCATAAGCAGGTTTCTTGGTGAATTTTGGAGATATCAGAAATTTCAATATAATAGAGACCAGATATTTGATATAAATTGTGATCCAGAGAATACAAGTCACCTCACATCTCTTACTCCATTTTGATTTGCATCTCCCTGATGACTATAAGGATGTCGAGCATTTCTTTAAGTGTTTCTCTGCCGTTCTATATTCCTCTATTGAGAATTCTCTTTAGCTCTGTACCCCATTTTTTAATTGGATGACTTGATTTGTTGCTGTTTAACTTTAGTTCTTTATATATACTGGATATTAGCCCTCTGTCAGATATAGGGTTGGTGAAGATCCTTTCTCAATCTGTAGGCAGTTCTTTTCTTCTGACAACAGTGTCCTTTGCTTTACAGAAGTTTTTCAATATCATGAGGTTCCATTTATTGATTGTTGTTCTTAGAGCCTGTGCTGTTGGTGTTCTGTTCAGGAAGTTGTCTCCTGTGCCAAAAAGTTCTAGGTTCTTCCCCACTTTTTCTTCCAACCTATTTAGTGTGTCTGGTTTTATATTGAGGTCTTTGATTCACTTGGACTTTAGTTTTGTGCAGAGTGATAAATATGGATCTATTTGCATTTTTCTACATGTAGACATCCAGTTGGACAAACACCATTTGTTGAAGATGCTATTTTTTTCCATTGTATGGTTTTGGCATCTTTGTCAAAAATCAAGTATCCATAAGTGTGTGGGTTTATTTCAAAGTCTTCTATTGGATCCCATTGATCCACCAGTCAGTTTCTATGACAGTACCATGCAGTTTTTATTACTGTTGTTCTATAGTACAGCTTGAGATGAGGGATGGAGATATATCCAGAAGATCTTTTATTGTAGGGGATTATTTTAGTGATTTTGGGTTTCTTGTTATTCCATATGAAGTTGAGAATTTTGGTGTTGGTATTTTGATGGGATTTGCATTGAGTCTGTAGATTGCTTTTGGTAAGATGGTCATTTTTTACTATGTTAATCCTGCCAAGCCATGAGCATAGGAGATCTTTCCATTTTCTGATATCTTCTTCTAATTCTTTCTTCAGAGACTGGAAATTTTTTCTTACAAGCCTTGGCTTGCTTGATTAGAATCACACCATGGTTTATCTCCTTTGTGGCTATTGTGAAGGGTATTGTTTCCTAATTTCTTTCTCAGCCCTTTTATCTTTTATATACAGGAAGGCTACTGATTTCTTTGAGTTAATTTTGTATCCAGCCACTTTGCTGAAGGTGTTTATCAGCTGAAGGAGTTCCCTGGTAGAATATTTGGGGTCATTCATGTATACTACCATATCATCTGTGAATAGTGAAACTTTGACTTCTTTTCTGATTTGTATCCACATGATCTCCTTTAGTTGTCTTATTGCTCTAGCAAGGACTTCAAAAACTATGTTGTAGAGATATGGAGAAAATGGGCAGCCTTGCCTTGTCCCTGATTTCAGTGGGATCAATTAAGTTTTACTCCATTTATTTTGATGTTGACTATAGGCTTGCTGTATATTGCCTTTTCTATGTTTAGGTATGTGCCTTGTATCCCTGATCTCTCCAAGACATTAAACGTGAATGGGTGTTGGATTTTGTCAAATGTTTTTTCAGCATCTAAGGAGATGATCATGTGGTTTTTCTCCTTCAGTTTGTTTATGTGGTGGATTACATTGATGGATTTCCGTATGTTGAACCACCCTTGCATGCCTGGGATGAAGCCTACTTGGTCATGTGAATGATATCTTTGATGTGTTCTTGGATTCTGTTTGCAAGTATTATGTTGAATATTTTTGCATCAATGTTCATAAGGGAGATTGGCCTGAAATTCTCTTTCTTTGTTGGATCTTTGTGAGATTAGGTACCAAGGTGACTGTGGCTTCATGGAATGAGTTTGGTAATGTTCCTTCTGTTTCTAATTTGTGGAATAGTTTGAAGAGTATTGGTGTTATCTCTTCTTTGAAGGTCTAGTAGAATTCTGCACTGAAACCATCTGGCCCTGGGGTTTTTTTTGGATGGGAGACTTTTGATAACAGTTTATATTTCCTTAGGGGATATAGGACTATATAATTGATTTACCTGGTCTCGATTCAGCTTTGGTAAATGGAATTGATCAAGAAATTGTCCATTTCGTTTAAGATTTTCAAATTTTGTAGGCATATAGGCTTTTGAGGTAAGACCTAATGATTGTTTGTATTTTTTCAGTGTCTACCATTATGTGCCCCTTTCATTTCTGATTTTGTTGATTTGGGTAGTGTCTCTCTGCTGTTTAGTTAGTTTGGCTAAGGGTATGTCTATTTTGTTGATTTTCTCAAAAAACAGTACTTGGTTTCATTGATTCTTTGAATAGATTTATTTGTTTCTAAGTTATTGATTTCAGCCCTGAGTTTGATTATTTCCAGCTGTCTACTCCTCTTTTTTAATAGACCCTTTAGGTGAGCCATTTATTTGCTTGCATGAGATGTTTTGAATTTCTTCTTGAAGGCGCTTGAACTTTCCTCTTAGCACTGCTTTCATTGTGTCCCATAAGTTTGGGTATGTTATGCTTTCATTTTCATTGAATTCTAGGAAGTCTTTGATTTTTTTCTTTATTTTCCTGACCCAGCTGTCATTGCATAGTGAGTTGTTCAGTTTCCAAGTGTATGAAGGCTTTTTGCTATTTCTGTTGTTGTTGAGGTCCAGCTTTAGTCCATGGTGGTCAGAATGGATACAAAGGATTAATTCAATCTTCTTGTATCTGTTGAGGCTTGTTTGTGACCACCTATATGGTCTGTTTTAAAGAGGGTTCCATGAGATGCTGAGAAGAAGGTAAATTCTTTTGTGTTTGGGTGAAAGGTTCTGTAGGTGTTTGTTAGGTACATTTGATTCATGACCTCTGTTAGAGTCAATGTTTCTTCATTTAATTCCTGCTTTGTTGACCTATCTTTTTTTGAGAGTGGGGTGTTGAAGCCTTGCACTGCTAATGTGTGAGGATCTATGTGTGGTTTGAGTTTTATTAATATTTCCTTTACAAATGTGGGTGTCCTTGTATTTGGAGCACAGATGTTCAATACTGTGATGTCTTCCTCGTGTAATTTTTTTTTATGAGTATGAAGTGTTCTTCCTCATCTCTTTTGATTAATTTTGGTTGAAAGTATATTTTATTAGATATTAGAATGGCTACTCCTGTTTGCTTCTTGGGTCCATTTGCTTGGAAAACCATCTTCCAGCCCTTTACTCTCAGGTAATGTCTATCTTTGTTTGTTTCTTGTGTGCAACAGCTTGTTGGGTCTTGTTTACGCATCCATTCTATTAGTCTTTTTATTGGCTAATTGAGTCCATTGATGTTGAGAGAAATTAGTGGCCAGTGACTGTTAGATCTTTTGATTTTTGATGCTCATTGTGGGAGTGTGTTTGTGTGCTTGGCTACTTTTAGTTTTGCAGTGGTGAGGTTATTTATTTCCTGTGTTTTCCTGAAAGTACTTATTTTTCTTAGGTTGTATTTTTTTTTTAATATCTTCTGTAACGCTGGATTTGTGTGTAGGTGTTGTTGAAATTTATTTTTCTCGATGAATATTTTATTTTCTCCATCTATGATGACTGAGAGTTTTGCTGGGTATAGCAGTCTGGGCTATCTGTGTTCTCTTAGGGTCTGCATGATATCCTTCCAGGCCCTCCTGGCTTTCATGGTCTCTGTTGAGTAGTCAGGTGTGATTCTGGTGGGTTTGCCATTGTGTGTTACTTGGCCTTTTTTCCTTGCAGCCTTTAGTATTTTTTCTTTGTTCTGTATACTTACTGTTTTGATTATTATGTGGTGGGAACATTTTCTTTTCTGGTCTAATTTGTTAGGTGTTCTGTAGGACTCTTGTATGCTTATAGGCCTCTCCTTTAAGTCGGGGAAATTTTCTTCTATGATTTTGTTGAAAATATTTTCTGTGCCTTGGAGACAGGAATCTTATTTTTCCTCTATTCCTATTATCCTTAGATTTTGTCTTTTCATATTGTCTTGGATTTCTTGGATGATTTTGTGGAATTTTTTAGATTTATTATTTTCTTTGACTGATACATCAATTTCTTCCATTGTATCTTCCACACCTGAGATTCTTTCTTCCATCTTTTGTGGTCTGTTGGTTATGCTTACCTCTGTAGTTCTTGTTTTCTTTCCTAAGTTCTCCCTCTCCATGATTTCCTGTGTTTGTGTTTTCTTTAATTTTTCCAATTCTATCTTCAGATGTTGAACTGTTTTGTTGATTTCCTTCACCTGTGTGACTGTATGTTCCTATTTTTCCTTCAATTCTTTCACCTGTTTGTTTGAACAATCCTTTGTTTCTTTTTATTTCTTTTAGTGATTTAGTCATTTCCTCTCTGAAAGCCACAAACTGTTTAGATGTATCTTTCTGTATTTCCTTACAGATGGCCATAATCTGTTTGACTTTATCTTCCTCTAATTCTTTACGCATTTCATTTGTTTCCACCATTAACCTCTTCATAAGCATAGATGTAAGGTCATCTTCTTGAATTTCACTTATGTTAGGATGTCCAGGGCTACTTGCCGTGGATAACTGGGTTAGGGGGATGCCATATTGCTTTGTGTTTTGTTGGTTGTGCTTTTACACTGGCCTCTGCCTATCTGGCTGCCTCAGGTGTTGGTTGTTAATTTCTGGTTCCTGCTGGAATTTTGGGGTGGGGAGAATTCTCTTGGCAAGGTTCTGAAGGAGGCCTTCTCAGGCTTTTGTGTATGGTCAACCAAATGGTGGTTCTTCTCAGGAGTTGTCAAAGTTCACCTCAGGTGTATGGACCTGTATGGTAACTGTGGTTTTTGGCAGTCAGGAAGGCTCTCCTCTCACCAGGGGAAGTCCTGGAGACAGCTACCCTGCCACTGGGTTTCTTGCTCTGAATTTAGTGAGCTGCTGCTGCTTTTATGCTGTGTTTGCTGGGCACAGCCTTCTTGAAGAACCAGGAGGCCCTGTGGTTTGATCAGTTTAGCTAGGGGTAACTGGTTGCAACTGAAGCAGTATCTAGGGGTTGATCCCATGGCTCCCAGGCTTCTGTAGATCTGAGGTTGGAGCTGTGTGCCCCAGGACCCTAGTGGTAATCAGTGGCACATGAGCACAGCACTCATGTGTGCTGCTGGAGGCCAGAGATTGGAGCCTGTGGGAACCCAGAAACTTTTCCTGAGCTGGGTGTCTTGTGGTCGGACCTGATGTTTCCCCCGCTGTGGGGTTTCCTCCCAACAGGAAGACCCAGTCCTGTTTTGGGGTCCACAGTTCCATTTGGAATGGCAAATAGAGCTCGCAGGCACAGCCAATGGCTCTGCCTTGCTTGCTTGCAGGAACCAGGGAACTTTTTCCTAGAACTTTTTGGGGGTTGTCGGCTGAGCGACTTGAGTGTCAGACCTGTTGTTTCCTTCACTGTGGGGTTTCCTTCTTACAGAGAAACCCAGTCTCTGGTGTCCTGGGGTCCACAGTTCTGTCTGGGATGGTGAGTCGGGCCTGCAGCAGGTCTCTGGGCTGGCTGCTCAGTGCCTGCCAGACCCTGGGACTTTTTCCAGGGATTGTCTGTTTGACCTGAGGTTGGTCCTGATTGCTTCCTTCACCATGAGTTTTTTTTTTTTTCCTGGAAATCCCAGGCTCTGGTGTTGTGGGGCCCACAGGTCAGCCTGGGAAGGTGATCAGAGCATGCAGGCATGTGGCTCTGGGCTGGCAACCAAGTGCCTGCAGGGTCCCGGGAACTCTTCCAGGGTTAAGCTGGTGACCTGAACCCAACTGATTCCCACACTGTGGGGTTCCTCTCACCTGGGAAACACAATCGCTGGTGTTTTAGGGTCCAGCATTCAGTCTGTTGGTCACTGTGAAGTCCCTGCTGTGCTGCTGGTCAGAAACAGTGTCCTCCCAGTGCCACCATCTTGGATCAACCTCAGCATATGATCTTAACCTCAGCACTCATATGATGAATCAGGAAGCCTAGCAGAAATTCAGGGCCAGCCTGGGCTACATATTGAGGACTATGTAACAATACACTATCTCAGAAACAGCAAATCAAATAAGAACAACAAAAGCAAAGAAAACTATGGCCAATCAATTAATCATAAATAAAAACCATTAGCAAGTTTATTTAAATCCTGAATTTGAGTTATTTTAATTTTAATGATATTTTTCAAAATTAAGCTTTCTCCTACTTCTGTTGAGTAGTGTGTTGCTGTGATCATATCCACAGAAGAGTTATTTTATGGTTATGATGGGTGATATGGAAAGTATTGTCTATTTGTTGTCTTAAATATCCCAGCAGAAACTGTGAGGTTTAAGGGATGAGAGGAGAAATATATTTATCATGTTAAATGTTTACACCCTCAGAAAAATGTTGGGCATCTTTAGAAGTTTCTTCTCTGAACATACTGGTGGAGATGCTAAAGAAAGCCATTGTTTCTCAACTTCATGATACAGTTCCAATGGTGCAGGATTGCTCTAACCTTAAAGTTCTTTTAGAAGTGATGAAAGAAGTACATAAGGTAAGGTTTCTTCTAAAGGAATTTACATAGCAGTTTATTAAATAATAATTCCTTAGGTCTCAGCCAGTTAAAAACTTCAAGAATATTTTAATTCAAAATATAATTATATATCATTTCCACCTTCTCTTTTTCCCTAAAACCCATTTTATGTCTTCTCTCTCTTCCCTTCATGTCTTCCCCTTTTTCTCTCTTTCTCAAATGCATGGACTTGTTATTTTTTGTTACATATAAATATGTAAAAATATGTATTGTATTTATCCAACCTACTGAGTGCATTTAGTGGTGCTTCAGGGATGGCCACTTAGTATTAAATAACCAATTAGGAGATAATTCCTGGAGATAACAAATTCTCCCTCTCAGCAGTCTTTAGGTTGGCTATAGTTCTTTTCGTAGAGGTGAGGCACTGTGACATTTCTGTCTTCCACAATAGCATGTCTATTGGTGTTGCCATTGTTCTGACCCAATGTAGGCAACTCTTATTGTTGAGGTATCATGGATGTAGCTTCCGTTTCACTTCTAGGAAACATAGTCATACAATAGACTTCCTGGTCCTTTACCTCTATGTAATTGGGTCTGTGAAACAGATGTCCTCTACATTTTGATCAGTTGTAGTTTCTGTAATGGTCTATATTTGCTACAAAGAGAAACACCCTTGCTAAGGGGTAATTCTTGTAGTAGACACAAGGATCGGTGTTTAGACTACAGTTAGGAATCAATTATACTGGTCTAGTAAAGTGGCAGAAGTAGGTTCTCCTACTGTGACCTCATTAGCCCTGGATAGTTATCTAGGTTTCTGGTACCAGGCATGTTTTCCCTCCTGTTGCGTGGGCCTTACATCTAATCTGAAAGCTGTTTGGTTATTGCCAAGATTTCAGTACTACCTTTAGAGATATTTTGCCATACTGGCAACGCTGTGTGTGGATCATAGTCATCACAGCAGGGTAGAATTGTGGTTGCCTCCTTCCCTTGGCAGCTTTCATAATATGTTCTGAGACTCCAGAGACTATAAAGACTAGACCTCAGGGAAGAGGCTTTCAGGTCAGGACCACATCTAATGCTGATGTCTGAAGTGTACAGTGTCTCCAACATCTGGGAAGCAGCCAACTGCAGGAGCAATAGCCTATGTTGTTTTGGAAGTCTTGAGCTTCCCTGACAAACAACTCTAAAGGGGATTTGTTATGCATGGCACTGGAGTTTTATATATTCTGGATATTAATCCTATGTCAGATGTATAGTAGCAAAGATTCTCTGGTACTCATGGGTTTCCTCTTCACTTTATTCATTTCCTCAACTGCAATTTTTTTTTAAGTTTATGAGGTCCTAAATCTCGATTGTTGGCCTTAAATAGAAGATTCTCCCCTATAACTACATCTTATAGAATATTGCAATTGCTTTCTTCTATCAGTTTCAGGTTTTAATTTGAGGTCTTTGATTTCCTTATAGTTAATATTTGTGCTGTGTGGTAGATGGCTGTCTACTTTGATTATTCTGTGTGAGGATATTTAGTTTTCTCTGCACCATTAGTTGAAGATGCTGTCAAAACTCCCACAGTTGGTGATAAATGGTACCTAATTATGTTTTTTATTTGCTTTTTCCTGGTGACTAATAGTTAATAAAGTTGAAAATACTTTTATGTAGTTATTGGCAGATATATCTTATTTGAAGGTATTTTGGCTTATTTTAAGATTAATTTGTTTTTGTTTTTATTATTGAATTATAATTATATATTTGTGTGTACATATGTGTATATAGTTAGATATATGCAGATTCTTTTAATTATACTTTTCTTTTACTTTATGTATCTATTTCACTTTCTCAGTGGTATCCTTTGAGGCATAACTGTATTGTTGCATTCCTTTTTCCCTCTCTCCCTCATTTCCTCCTTTCTTTCTCTTTTGTGGTGCTGGAGTTGTAACCTAGAGCCTCACAGATGCTAGGCAAGCACTCTATCACAGAACCCTGCTGCATCACACACAACATTTGTTGTTGTTTTGGGGCCAGGGTGTTGCTATCAACTTAAAGCTGGCCCATAACATTTGGTTTTCCTGCCTTAGTATCCAAACCACTAATGTTATAGGCATTTGCCTTGGTGCCCATCTCACAGTTTTTAATTATGGAAAAATATCTTTGTCTCTTTCTGTGTGTCTCCTGCCGCTCTCTCTCTGTTTCTCTGTCAGGGTCTCATGTATCCTTGGCTGGCCTCAAATTTGCTGTATAGTTGAAAATAATCTTGAACCTCTCTCCATCTCCCAATAGCTGAGATTTTAGGCTTAGTCACCTCTTGGTTGTATTTGGCACTGGGGACCTACTCCCGGGCATTGATCATGCTAGGCAAACACTACTAAGATATATCTTCCAGCCTTACCTTTTCTTCTGAAAGTTAAATTTCTAACCATTTCTTATTAGTTTGTAGAAATCTTGTAGAAATTAATAAGCTTTTGTTTCACCTTTCTGTTTCTGTGCATATAATCCTATAATTTAAGAATAATACAGTTTTTGTTACTTTAATTTTTTTGGCTGTAGTATATAAAAGTTGTACATGCATGACTTCTGATATGATTGATTTGTGAGTATTGCTTCTTATGGGAACTGTTGTACCCCTTACACACATAGAAACCATTTCTGATTACCTACAAGTGGACAGTACATACCCGCAGACAGTTTCTGCAAAGAAACCTTTCTTTTTAATTTATGTGTATGGATGTTTTGCTTGCATGCCTGTCTGTACACCACTTATGTATAAATATCTGTGCAGGCCAGAAGAGAGTGCTACGTCCCACATAACTGGAGTTACAGATGGTTGTAAGCCATCATGTGGCCCTGGGACTTGAACTCAGGTTTAGAAGAGCAGCCAGTGCTCTTAACTGCAGAGCCATCTCTCCAGCGATTCTGCAGACAAACCTTTAACATCCTCATTGGCTTGCCCTGAGTGACACCAAACACCCAGGTTGAATTGCTGTGGGAAACTATGTGGACATAAGCACAAAATATTACTGTCTGCATTTAGGATGATGTTTGCTGATTACTGTTTGTATAGAAAGCATATGTAGCAGAATTATTTATTTTTAAAAAGTTTTTGACTAAGATAACAGCAACTTATTCTCAGTGTCATAGGTTTCTTGATTTAAAGGCCTAGCAGTCAGAACAGGGAGCCTCTGGGGCTATGTCCCAGGAGTTCTTACACCTATCTGCTCTTGGAAGTTGTAATTTAAAATGGTTCTTCTGTCAACTTAGACTTGTCTGAGAGCACTTGTGTCATCTCCTTCTCCCCAGTGTTCTGACATGGAATGAAATCTCCCCCAGGATATTTTTTTTAAATTAAATTTATTGAAAAGATCTTTATAAAATGCCCACGAGTATCTTATATGGATTGGATATACACACAATATTTCCTCCAGTATCATAAATACATACATGTGAAATTGAAAAAGCAAGATAACGTACATACAAATTGATACTCAATTAGCATTTGTAGAGATAAGTAAAGGGGGGAAACTCAACTCTCCTACAAATGCATTTAGAAAGGAAAGATACTATGGAGAAGCCAGGATTTTTTTTACTGACTGATAGATATCATGTGTATGAAAAATTACTTTTTGTTGTTTTCTGATTTAGTGTGTCTTGTTTGTTTGTTTGTTTGTTTGTTTGAGATGGGGTTTCTCTGTGTAACCTTGGCTATCCTGGAACTCACTCTGTAAACCAGGATGGCCTTGAACTCAGAGACCCACTTGCTTCTGCCTCCCCAGTGCTGGAATGAAAGGTATGGTGCACCACCACCTAGCAGGTGGAAAATTCTTGAGTGACAGAATTTGATTTTCTAGTGAAAGATGCTGAGTGAAGGTTATCCCACTCAACTCAACTAGCCTAAAACATACTTACTCCATCACTGATAATTGCATATTTAGATGTGCCTATAAATAAATCTAGGTGTTACACTTTACCTAATTTATTAATAGAAAGTGAAATTCCAGGTCATGTTCTCTTTAAGGCTAACCATCAACTTCCAGAAAGTGCTTTCATCATAAGTGAGCTTCCTGCCATCTTGAACTTTCCTAGAGATAACAATCTGGTAAGTATAACATATACCCTTGTAGGTATGTTCATGATTTTTAGATCAGAAAATGTCCTTGTTACAATACTAAATTAGCTAAATTGCATGGCCATAGAAAACTTAAACATTTTGCTTATAAAACAAATTTATTTTCTTACAAATGTGCCTCTAAGGGCTAGACATATAGCTCATGCTAAATGAATGGAGGCCCAAATTCTGATGTCCAGTACTATATAAACTAGGTATGGCAGTGCACGCCTGTAATCTCAACACTTTGATGGAGGACAGCACATCAAAAGTGTAAGGCCAGGGCTGGAGAGATGGCTCACTGGTTAAAAGAACTGGATGCTCTTCCAGGGGACCTGAGTTAGTTCCTAGAACCCATATGGTAGTTCACAACTGTCTGCAACTCCAGCTCAAAGGGGATCAGGTGCTGTCTTCTGGCATCTTTAGGCACTGCAGACACTGCACAGGTGTGGTACATAGACACACATGCAACAATAAAATTATACACTTAAAACAATAAAATAATTTGAAAAGTTCAAAATATTTTTTTAAAAAAGAAGTGAAAGCTCATCTGGTACATAATGAGTTTGAGGTCAATCAGGGATATATGGCATTTTGTCTCAAAAAACAAAAAAGATAGACAGAAGGAAGCAGGGGTGCTTTGCTGTAATTAGACTTAAAAAAATAGGTTCAAGACATCACAGCAGTAAATAAAGTGATAAAGTTAAGGACAGGAATAAATGTTATTTTTCTTTCATTGTCAAAATTGTTGTTTGCTTATATTTCTTTCTTTTTAAGTTGTTTGCAGAATTTTTCATCATTATTGCTTCCGATGATTTTCTGTTTATCTTTGATTTGCCATCCAAAATTAAACTAATGCGATTTAACCTAAATGCAGAACTGTGGGTATGTATGTTTTCCGTTACTATGACAAAATAACTGAGGCTGTATACTTTATAAAGAGATGTATTTAGCTCAAGGTTTTAGAGGTTCACCAACACGATGTAGAAATCTTGATAAAACCATTCTCATTTCTTCACTGCCCTGTCTCCCCTACCACCATTAAAACATGAGAACCACAAAAGGATCTTGCCATGTGCTAAAGAGGCCAATTGTGTTGGATGGCTCACTTTATAACAACCTGTTCTCACAAGAAATAACCGGCTCTGTCAGTCTAATAGTAATCTCCTCCAAGGGTCATGTCTCATAACCTTGTTATCTTCCTGGGATCCAATTTAAAAATTAATTATTGCACACTGGAAACAAAGCTTTACATGAATCTTTGGAGATATGGTCAAATGATATTCAAGCCAATATTGGTAATCATTTTTTAATAAAAAATGTAAAGCATATATAAAATAAAAATAATAATACCTTTCATCAAGACATCAGGTATAAACATTTTACCACATGTGTTGGTGTACTACTTTTGTTAATTTTGCAGTTATTACTAGTTCTTTATTCTGAAGTATTTCAAAGAAATCTAGCTCAATGTTTTTTCAGCATCCAATCCTTTAATCTGATAATTCTGGTCACCTCATTTCTCATTTCTGATTTTGTCATTTAAGGAGTTACTGCACGTTTCTTCCAGTTTATTTTTTCTTGACAAAACTTTTAACACTTTTTAATAGATAAGTTATCTAATAATTTCATCTCTTATTTTGTTAAGTGTCAACACAGCAGTATTTCTGATCTTAATATGTCTAAGTCATTATCTAGAATTGTGAAAATAATGTTTCCTGATTAATTCAGGCTCTTTGATTACTCACAGAACAAATAAGTATAATGAAGTATACTTGTATACTTCAAAGAAGTATAATCTTTTCTTTTTCATTATTAAATGTCTTGAGAGTAAAATTTTTATTTAGTTTACCAATCTATGTTCCTACCAGCAGTGAATGAAACCCCTCTTTCACAAGAGCAGAATGCTTATGACCTTTTCTAGTTTGGCGAGTTAATCATGATTCAGTTTAATTTGTGTTTCTCATTAGTTCTCATCCAGTTCTCACTTTCTGTGACATCATTTCTCTATTTGAATATTCCTAGTCAGCTGTTCTTTTTCTCTCCTCTTCTTCTCCATTTGATTTTAACTATTGCTATGTTTTTAGTGTCAATTTTTAGATTTTGAGTTTCTCAGAGCTTGACTTATAAGCATAAACATATTTTAATACTATTTTATTAATTCTTTGAGAATATCATATCTCATCAAACTCCTCCCAGATCCACCTTCAATTCTCTACATACGAAATTTAGTATTCTTTTTTTGATGGACAATGAGTTTTATTTATTATTAAATATTAAACCCAAATAATAAATATTTACATAAAAGTATATAACAATTTCAATTGATTAAAAAATCATTAAAAATATGAGTTATCCTTTATGATAAACACTCTATTAATAAAGAATACAGAAATTTCTTCATTTCATTAACATGTCAATAGCAAAGTTAGAATTCATATTTGCTTTATAATGTTCTCCATGCTTGTCTCACATTGTCTGCTCATCCTTATAGTATAATTATGCAAAACAAACAAAAACCTGTACATACTGGAAGAGAAAAAATGTATACAGTAGTAGTATTATGTTGAAACTCCCAGAAAAATAACAAAATTCTAAAAGCAATAATTGAATACTAGGTACTGGTAGGATACAAGAAGTTAATTGCTTTCCTTAAACCATGAATGAACTGAGAGGCAAATCTACTGTAATATTCATCATTAGTGACATAGGGAATGATATTCATACTTATTATTTTAGTAATAAAATATGTATTAGCAACATGAAAGGAAAACAGAAAATAAAGAAGCAGGTTTGTGTATGTGTCAGGCTTGTCTGAAGTATGTATATACTTTTTTTAAATTTTTATTAGTTACACTTTATTCACTTTGTATCCCCCTGTGGTTCCCTCCCTCCTCCCGTCCCAATCCCTCCCTTCCCAATTCCTCCCTTCCTCCACCCTCTGCCTGTATGCCCCTCCCCAAGTCCACTGATAGAGGAGGACTTCTTATCCTTCCTTCTGATCCTAGTCATTAGGTCTCATCAGGAGTGGCTGCCTTGTCTTCTTCTGTGGCATGGTAAGGCTGCTCAGGGGGAGGTAATTAAAGAGCAGGCCAATCAGTTCATGTCAGAGACAGTCTCTGTTCCTATTACAATGGAACCCACTTGGATACTGAACTGCTATGGGCTACATCTGTGCAGGGGTCTTAGGTTATCTCCATGCATAGTCCTTGGTTGGAATAGCAGTCTCAGGAAAGACCCCTGTGCTCAGATTTTTTTTGGTTCTGTTGCTCTCCTTATGGAGTTCCTGACCTCTCCAGATCTTACTGTTTCCCACTTCTTTCCTAAGATTCCCTGCACTCTGCCCAAAGGTTGCCCATAAGTCTCAGTATCTACATTGATAGTCTGCAGGGCAGAGCTTTTCTGAGGTCCTCTGTGTCAGGCTCCTGACTTGTTCTCTCTTTTCTCCTTCTTTTGATGTCCAGCCTCTTTGCCTTTCTGAATAGGAATTGAGCATTTTAGCAAGGGTCCTCCCTATTGATTAGTTTCTTTAGGTGAACAGATTTTAGTAGGTTTATCCTATATTATATGTCTATATGAGTGAGTATATACCGTGTGCATCTTTCTGCTTCTGGGATACCTCACTCAGGATGATCTTTTCCAGATTCCACCATTTACCTGCAAATTTCATGATTTCCTTGCTTTTAATTGATGAGTAGTATTCCATTGGATAAATATACCACAATTTGTACATCCATTCCTCCACTGAGAGGCATCTGGGCTGTTTCCAGATTCTGACTATTAAATAAGGCTGCTACAAACATGGTTGAGCAAATGTCCTTATTGTGTACTTGAGAATCTTTTGGATATATGCCTAGGAGTGGTATAGCTGGATCTTGAGGAAGCGCTATTCTTAGTTGTCTGAGAAAACGCCAGATTGCTTTCCAAAGTGGTTGTATAAGTTTACATTCCCACCAGCAGTGGAGGAGGGTTCCCATTTCTCCACAACCTCTCCAACAAGTATTATCACTTGAGTTTTTGATCTTAGCCATTCTGATGGGTGTAAGGTGAAATCTTAGGGTTGTTTTGATTTGCATTTCCTTGATGGCTAATGAGGTTGAGCATTTCTTTAAGTGTTTCTCTGCCATTCGATATTCCTCTGCAGAGAATTCTGTTTAGCTCTGTACCCCATTTTTAATTGGATTACTTGATTTTTTGTTGTTTAACTTCTTTATTTCTTTATATATTCTGGATATTAGCCCTCTGTCAGATATAGGGTTGGTGAAAATCCTTTCTCAGTTTGTACGTTGTTGTTTTGTTCTGATGACAGTATCTTTTGCTTTACAGAAGCTTTTCAGTTTCATGAGGTCCCATTTATTGATTGTTGATGTTAGAGCCTGTGCCGTTGGTGTTCTGGTAAGGAAGTTGTCTCTTGTGCCAAATGAGTTCTAGGCTCTTCCCACTTTTTCTTCTAACTGATTAAGTGTGTCTGGTTTTATGTTGAGGTCTTTGATCCACTTGGACTTTAGTTTTGTGCAGGGTGATAAGTATGGATCTATTTGCATTTTTCTACATGTAGATATCCAGTTAGACCAGCACCATTTGTTGAAGATGCTGTCTTTTTTCCATTGAATGGATTTGGCATCTTTGTTAAAAATTAGGTGTCCATAAGTGTGTGGATTTATGTCAGGGTCTTCTATTGCATTCCATTGATCCACCAGTCTGTTTCTATGCCAGTACCATGCAGTTTTTAGTATTGTTACTCTAGTACAGCTTGAGATCAGGGATGGAGATACCTCCTGAAGATCTTTTACTGTAGAGAATTGTTTTAGCAATTCTGGGTTTCTTGTTGTTCCATATGAAGGTGAGAATGTTTCTTTCAAGGTCTGTAAAGAATTGTCTTGGTAATTTGATGGGAATTTCATTGAATCTGTAGGTTGCTTTTGGTAAGATGGCCATTTTTATTATATTAATCCTGCCAAGCCATGAGCATGGGAGATCTGTCCATCTTCTCATATCTTCTTCTAATTCTTTCTTCAGAGACCTGAAATTTTTTTCATACTACTCTTTGACTTGCTTGGTTAGGTTCACACCTTTGTGGCTATTGTGAAGGGTGTTGTTTCCCTAATTTCTTTCTCGGCCCTTTTGTCCTTTGTATACAGGAAAGCTACTGATTTTTTTGAGTTATATCCAGCCACTTTGCTGAAGGTGTTAATCAGCTGTAGGAGTTCCCTGGTAGACTTTTTGGGGTCACTCATATATACTATCGTATCATCTGCAAATAGTGATAATTTGACTTCTTCTTTTCCAATTTGTATCCCCTTGATCTCCTTCAATTGTCTTATTGCTCTAGCTAGGACTTCAAGAACAATGTTGAAAAGATATGGAGAGAGTGGACAGCCTTGCCTTGTCCCTGATTTCAGTGGGAATGATTTAAGTTTCTCTCCATTGAGTTTGATGTTGGCTATAGGCTTGCTATATATTGCCTTTACTATGTTCAGGTATGTGCCTTGTATCCCTGATCTCTTCAATACTTTAAACATGAATGGATGTTAGATGCTGAAAAGGCATTTGACAAAATCCAAGGACATGATCATGTAGTTTTTCTCCTTCAGTTTGTTTATGTGGTGGATCACATTGATGGATGTCCGTATATTGAACCACTCCTGCATGCCTGGGATGAAGCCTACTTGGTCATAGTGGATGATGTCTTTGATGTGATCTTGGATTCGGTTTGCAAGTATTTTTTTGAGTATTTTTGCATCAATGTTCATGAGGAAGATTGGCCTGAAATTCTCTTTCTTTGTTGGGTCTTGTGAGGTTTAGGTACCAAGGTGACTGTGGCTTCATAGAATGAGTTTGGTAGTGTTCCATCTGTTTCTATCTTGTGGAATAGTTTGAAGAGTATTGGTGTTAGCTCTTCTTTGAAGGTCTGTTAGAATTCGGCGCTGAAACCATCTGGCCCTGGGCTCTTTTTGTATGGTAGACTTTTGATGACAGCTTCTATTTCCTTAGGGGATATAGGACTACTTAATTGGTTTACCTGGTCTTGATTCAGCTTTGGCATGAAGAATCAGTCAAGAAAATTATCCATTTCATTTAGATTTTCAAATTTTGTGGCATATAGACTTTGGAAGTAAGACCTAATTATTGTTTGGATTTCTTCAGTGTCTGTGGCTATGTCCTTCTTTTTGTTTCTGATTTTGTTGATTTGGATAGTTTCTGTCTGCCTTTTAGTTAGCTTGGGTAAGGGTTTGTCTATCTTGTTTATTTTCTCAAAGAACCAGCTCTTGGTTTCATTGATTCTTTGAATTGTTTTATTTGTTTCTAATTTATTGATTTCAGCCCTGAGTTTGATTATTTCCAGCCGTCTATTCCTCTTTGGTGTGTCTGCTTCTTTTTTTCCTAGGGTTTTTAAGTGAGCCATTAAGTTGCTTGAATGAGCTTTCTCGAATTTCTTCTTGAAGGCACTTAGTGCTATGAACTTTCCTCTTAGCACTGCTTTCATTGTGTCCCATAAGTTTGGGTATGTTGTGCCTTCATTTTCATTGAATTCTAGGAAGTCTTTAATTTCTTTCTTTATTTCTTCTCTGACACAGCTGTCATTTAGAAGCAAGTTGTTCAGTTTCCATGTGTGTGTAGGCCTTTTGCTATTTTTGTCATTGAGGTCTGGTTTTAGTCCATGGTGATCAGATAGGATACAAGGGATTATTTTAATCTTCTTGTATCTGTTGAGGCTTGCTTTGTGACCAACTGTATGGTCTATTTTGGAGAAGGTTCCATGAGGTGCTGAGAAGAAGGTAAATTCTTTTGAGTTTGGGTGAAAGGTTCTGTAGATGTCTGTGACGTCCATTTGATTCATGACCTCTGTCAGAGTTATTGTTTCTTTGTTTAATTTCTGTTTTGTTGACTTGTCCTTTGTTGAGAGTGGGGTGTTGAAGTCTCCCACTATTAATGTTGGGGGTCTATGTGTGGTTTAAGTTTTATCAATGTTTCTTTTACAAATGTGGGTGCCCTTGCATTTGGGGCATAGATGTTCAGGATTGTAATATCTTCCTTATGGATTTTTCCCTTGATGAGTATGAAGTGTCCTTCTCTATCTCTTTTGATTGATTTTGGTTGAAAATCTACTTTATTAGATATTAGGATGGCTACTCCTGCTTGTTTCTTGGGTCCATTTGCTTGGAAAACTATGTTCCAGCCCTTTACTCTCAGGTAATGTCTATCTTTGTGATTTAAGTGTGTTTCTTGTATGCAAACAGATTGTTAGATCTTGTTTATGCATCCATTCTGTTAGTCTGTGTCTTTTTATTGGAGAATTGAGTCCATTGATGTTGAGGGAGATTAATGACCAGTGGCTGTTAGATCCTTTGATATTGATGTTGGCTATGGTAGTGTGTTTGTGTGTTTGGCTACTTTTGTTTTGCTGTAGTGAGGTTATTTTCTATGATTTCTTGAAAGTAGTTAGTTTTCTTGTGTTGTATTTTTTATTCTAGTATCTTCTGTAATGCTGGATTTGTGTGTAGCTATTGTTGAACTTTGTTTTTGTCATTGAATATCTTGTTTTCACTGTCTATGAGGACTGAGAATTTTGCTGGGTACAGTAGCCTAAGCTGACATCTGTGTTCTCTTAGGCTCTGCATGATATCCGTCCAGGCTCTTCTGGCTTTCATAGTTTCTGTTGAGTAGTCAGGTGTGATTCTGATGGGTTTGCCATTATACGTTACTTGGCCTTTTTCCCTTGCAGCTTTTAATATTTTTTCTTTGTTCTGTATACTTACTGTTTTGATTATTATGTGATGGGAGGATTTTCTTTTCTGGTCTAATTTATTAGGTGTTCTGTAGGCCTCTTGTATTCTTATAGACTTCCCCTTTATGTTGGGGAAATTTTCTTCAATGATTTTGTTGAAAATATTTTCTGGGCCTTGGAGGAGGGAACCTTCTTTTTCCTCTATTCCTATTATTCTTAGGTTTTGTCTTTTTATGTTGTCTTGGATTTCTTGGATGGTTTGTGTCACGAATTTTTTAGATTTATTATTTTCTTTGACAGATACATCCATTTCTTCCATTGTATCTTCTACACCTGAGATTCTTTCTTCCATCTCTTGTATTCTGTTGGTTATGCTTACCTCTGTAGTTCCTGTTTTCTTTCTTAGATTCTCCCTGTCCATGATTTCCTCTGTTTGTGTTTTCTTTAAATCTTCCAATTCTATCTTCAAATCTTGAACCATTTTGTTGATTCCCTCCACCTGTCTGACTGTATTTTCCTGTTTTTCCTTCAATTCCTTCAGCTGTTTGTTTTAACGTTCCTCTGTTTCTTTTATTTCTTTCAGTGACACAGTCTGTTTGGCTGCATCTTCCTGTATTTCTTTACGGATGACCATAATCTGTTTTATTATATCTTTCCCTAATTCTTTATGCATTTCATTTACCTCCTCCATTAACCTTTTCATTAGTATAGATGTAAGGTCATCTTTTTGAATTTTACTTATGTTAGGGTGTCCAGGGCTACTTGCCCCTGGATAACTGGGTTCTGGGGATGCCATGTTGTTTTGCCTTTTGTTGGTTGTGCTTTTTCGCTGGCCTCTACCCATCTCTCTGTCTCAGGTGTTGTCTGTTAATTTGTGGTGCCTGCTGAGTCCTGGGGTGGGGAGAAGCCACTTGGCGGGGTTCTGAAGTTCTCCTCTGCTTTTTGGGTATGGTCAACTGAATAGTGGTGCTTCTCAGGAATTGTCACAGTTCACTTCAGGTGTATGGACCTGTATGGTAATTGTGGTATTCAGGAAGGCTCTCCTCTCATCAGGAGAGAACCTGGTGATGGCTGTCCTGCTGCTGGGTTTCTTGCTCTGAATTTAGTGAGCAGCAGCTGTTGCTCTTAAGGTGCAATTTTTGGGTGCAGCCCTCTTGAAGGACCAGGGATTCCCACAATTTTGTCAGTCTAGCTAGGGATAAGTGGTTGATCTTTGGCACAGTATCTGAGGGCTGCTATAATGGCTCTCTGGCTTTTGTAGGTCTGAGGATGCAGCTGTGTGCCCCAGTGCCCTAGTGGTACTCAATAATGGCGGGTGAGCACAGCGCTCCTGCCTGCAGTAGAAGGCTAGAGCCTAGAGTCTGCGTGAATCCAAAAAGTCTTTTGGTGCTGGGTGTCCTGAGCATTAGAACTGATGATCCCCCCGTTGTGGGGTTTCCTCCTGACAGTGGCACCCAGTCTTTGCTTTGGGGACTGCTATTCTGTCTGGCATGGTGAGTAGAACCCGCAGGCACAGATGTGTGTGGCTCTGCCTTTCTGGCCTTTGGGAGACTGGGTGTCTGTCTAAACTGAGTAATTTTTCCCGAGACCTTTTCGGGGTGGTGGTATCAGCTGAGTGCTCTGAGATCAGACCAGCCGATTCCCTCCCTGTGGGTTTGCACCTGACAGTGAAACTCAAGTCTCTGGTGCCCTGGGGCCCACAGTTCTATCTGAGGAGGCGAATCAGACGTGCAGGCAGGACTCTGTGCCGGAGAATAGGTCCCCAGCTCTGGCTCTGGGCTGGCTCCTAGGGCATCTGCAGAACCCAAGTCTTTTCCAGGGGATGTCTGGGTGACCTAAGGTCGGTCCCAATCATTTCCTGCACTATGGGGTTATCTCTTGACTGGGAATTCCAGTCTCTGATGTTGTGGGCCCACAGTTCAGTCTGGGACTGTGACCAGACCATGCTGGCGTGTGGCTCTGGGCTGGCGAGTGGCTCTGGGCTGGCGACCAAGTGTCTGGCAGAACCAGGATCCCTTCTGCGGCTAAGCCGGGCGGGTTAAAGCTGATTGAATCCCCCACTGTGGGGTATCCTCTTACCTGGGAAACACAATCACTTGTGTTTTATGGCCATGAGTTCTGATTGCTGGTCACTGTGCCGATCCTGCTGTGATGCTGGTCAGAATGAGAGTCCTCCCGGTGCTGCCATCTTGCCCCGCCTTTTGTATATACTTTTTTTAAGGGTGCATTGACATTGCATGTGATAGAGGTGTGTTTTTGTTGGTTTTATCCAGAAGCAAAGGTTCAACCAAGAGTGTTATTAGATGGTTGCTTTGATCCTGAGACATGTCCCCAGCCTTTACTTAATATTTCCCTCCTTTTTTATTAATTACACTTTATTCACTTTGTATCCCCCCCATAAACCCCTCCCTTTTCCCCTCCCAATCCCACCCTCCCCCCCATCTTCATGCCTGCCCTTCCCCAAGTTCAGCCACTCCTTATGAGATCTGAAGGAAGGAGAGGGGGACCTCCCCTATCAAATTTAGTATTCTTTCTCTCTCTAGCCCACCCCCGTTTTTTAAACCCTACTTTAATTTGTGTTGCTCAAATACTCTTGGATGTAGAGCCTACTAGGGGCCACAGCTCTCCCAGCATTTACGACATAACATTATTTCTTCAGGTAGGGATGGGAGTTAGTACTCACTTGTCTCCCATGACTTCATGGGCTGGTCTTGTCTGGGCTGAGTTTGCACAGCTCCATCTAATAACACAGATCTTGAATTTTCAATCCTCCAGGCTCCACCTCTAGGGACTGTACGCTTGCTCTACCATTCACACTTTAATCCCTGATAGTCTTAAAGGTCCAAAGGAGAGCCAACTAAAATTTTTATTTTTCTAAAAGTTTGAAGCCATGGTACTTCCAGAAACTATGGGACGCCCATTCTTTACACTGAGAGTCAAACGAAGTCATCTGGTTGAAGATACCATGCATCAATTAAGACAAGCTGAAGTCTCAGAGTTCAAAAAAACACTAACGGTAAAGAAAAAAGTCTTGTTGGAGTGTGTGTTTGTGTTTGTGTACATTTGTAATTAGGGAGCTGCATTCACAACTTTGGTAATTTGTCTTAAGGTTTCCAGAAATTGTCCCCTTCCTTTGAAAGAATTGCAGGTTAACTGATTTATTGATGATTGTAATGGTTCATCCTAGTACTTAAGGACATAAAAATAACATTTTATTTTGCAAATCTTCTAGTCCAGCTGAACCTCTAGGTGTCTTTGTTTTATTAATATGTGCTTGTATGTATGATGCTATAAATAAAACCAGGGTTTCCACAGATGTTAAGCAAGTGCTTTACTACTAAGCTACATCCCCAGCCATATGGATTTTTTAGTTTGCTCACATATCCAAAAGTTAGATAGAAATTGGCTATGCTGTGCTATTACTGGCTGAGGACACTGGCTTATACTTTATATGTCCTTCCTCCTTTTGGGACCAGCAAGCATGTTCTCACAGCAGTGCTAGAGATGCAAGCTAGTAATCATTAAATATTGTTTGAGCCAGTGAAGACTCATGAGTGAACCCAAGCCAATGCTGGGAAAATATCCTAATCTCTTGATAGGAGAAAACTGCAAAATCACATTCAAAAGAATTTAATCAAGAAATGGTGAAAAAACTGGGACTATTTATGCACTCAGCAGGTAGCAAGTATAACAAGCAAGCACTTCCCCCCATATTGTGGGTCTAGTCTTTCTACAATGTAGGTTTCAATTCCAGGCACTCTTCATTTAGCCCTTTGTGGGTGCCTTAGAGTGTTTATTATGTAGCACCTCAAGCCATTTGCCATATTGCATATAGCACAGAATACTAACTCATGCTGTTGGTAAGAGCTGGAGCCTGGGGTCCAAAGGGGAGTAGATTTTCCTGATACTATCAGAGAGGGTAAGTGGTAAACTCCCAAAGAAAACAGATCCTGGAGGATAGTACTCACAGCAGAAAGGGTAATTTCTCGGCATGTGATTCAAATAGAAAAAAAATGAAACAGATTTCTTTTAGAACCCAGATCCCATTAGTATTTAGTTTTCTTATACTTTGTGTATCAGTAGAAAATTGTTTTCCCTGGAGGAAATGACTGTACTTTAAGGAAGATGTTAACTTCAAGACAGAAACAAAATAAACTGAGCATGACAAGACTGTCCTTTGTAACTCTTGACATCACCATGAGTCCTGACCAGGCTAAAGAGTTTGAACAAACATCAGCAGGAACACTTTCTAAGACAGAATAGAAAGAGAACAAAAACTGGAGAAATGAAGTTTAAGGATGCTCATATTCAAAATTCAAGGCCGGGGGGTGGTGATGGTAGAGTGTTTGCCTTGAATGCCTGAGAGCCCAGTTCAATTGCCATCATCAAAACTTAGATATATAAATTAAAAAAAAGAAATTAAAAAAAGAAAAGGAATAGTCAGAGCAGGCAGGGTAAGAATCAAACCTGATGCTTTGTGCCTATAATTCCAGTACTCAGATGGTTGGCAGGGGTTATTAGGAGTGCATGGTGAGACCTTTTCCAAGAGCAAAACCAAAGGAACAAACAATAAAGAAGTACTAAAAAAAAAGTCTAGGATTATTTTTTTATAAAAGGGTGGGGAACCATGCAACCTGGGCTCACCTTGGATTTGAATCTGATATATACCCAAGATGGTCTTCTACTTGGCCATGAAATTCACAGGCAAGGAGAACTGTTAGAAAGAAATCTAGTTGTGTGTGTGTGTGTGTGTGTGTGTGTGTGTGTGTGTGTGTGTGTATGTTTCCCTTGAGTGGAATGGTTAATCAGCTTGCTGTGCCTGCAAAGATACTTAGCTTATGTTCACTGTAAGGGCTGCTTCCCAGAAGTACTTTGATTAGAGGCTAGCACTAATCAAAGTACTTTAGATAGCACTTCATTAGAGCCAAGGTTACTCAGTCTGAAAGATAATATAAAGACAGACAGAAAGGTGGAATAATTGGAGAATTTCATGGCTCAGTGGCTTGAGGCATATCAAAACTTACATAAAGATATTGTTCCTTCTTCAAGGAATCTAAAGGATCCAGGCATTCACTATCTTAACAACCTGGAAATAAATAGGCTCTTGGCCTTCACTGCTTGGCAGCAACTCGATTGGAGATGGAGTATGAGAATGTAAAGCAGGGTTTGGTTCTGTCAGGTCTCTTGAACTTGAGAAGGTCAGGACAGGCTGAAGGTTTTTCCATAAAGAGTAAAGAGGTGTGTTTCACATAAGAGCCTTGAAGTAAATTCTCTTTCTTTAGGTTGAATTTATTAATGAAATTCGTGCTGAGAGTGGAGGGGTGAGTTCAGAGTTCTTCCACTGTATATTTGAAGAGATGACAGACCCCAAATATGAAATGTTTGTGTATCCTGAAAAGGGTTCCAAAATGTGGTTTCCAGTCAATGTAAGTTATACGTTTCTCATACAACGTATTAAATGCTGCGATATGAACATCATAGATGATATTGTAAAATCAGGAATAGTACCTCATTATCCATTTTCGTGCTGTGGCATGGAAAGCCAAACCATGTCCTGCCGTGTATCCTTGGTGCCTTCCTTTTTTTTTCTCCTGTGGAGTAATATTGCACAAATATCCTAAAATTGTTTTCATAATCTCAGAGGGGTGGCTATTTGGAATGTGTCCCTAATTTTGAGTTACAATAAAGAATGTTTCAAATTAGTAGAAACTGTTGATAAATTAGTAGCTGTTAATTCTGATTGATTGGTTGGTTGGTTGGTTGATTTCTTTGACTATAATGGTTTTTTTTTTTTTTCATTTTTTTATCTTTTTTTTTTTTTTTTTTTTTTTTTTTTTTTTTTTTTTTTTTTTTTTTGTTTTTTTTTTTTTTTTTTTTTTTTTTTTTTTTTTTTTTTTTTTTTTTTACATTGTCTTATTCAATGTCTTAGTATGGATTCCAAGGTAGCTTTGATCTCACAATCTTTGGATTACAGGGTTTCCCACACTCAGCAAAGCCTTCACTTTTAAGCATATCCATACAGTTCTGCTCAGGAGAAAACAAACATACAGACAAACAGACACACAGACACACACACACACGTATTTTAATTTGTATTTGTTTTTATAAAACAACAAAACCAAATTGAACCAGAGTACAAACTATGGGACAGAAACCTGACTAGGAGAGGCCATTGAAGATTGTACTATACTTTTAGCTTATTTCAGAAATCAACCTGAGGAGTGAATAGGGCCAGGAGAGTGGGGAGACTAAACAATCTGTGAGTTACTGAACCTCTTGAACCTGCTAACAGCAAGAATGGCACTAAAATAGGAATCTTAAATTTTCACACTTAGGGACACTTCCCCTGGGTTGCAGTTTTGTTTTGTTTTTCTAACCAGGATGACAAGATGCAGAGAAGACCAGTAAAGGCAGTTGTGTTCGTCTGTTTTTGTTGGTGTCACTTTAATGAACCACCTGAGAGTAAGCTTGAGGAGAGTGAGCCTATTCAGCTCAGAGTTTTAGAAGTCCAGGGGCATGGTGCTGACATCCACTGCTTCTCACAGGGTCTTCTGGCACACAGCACTATGGCAGGATCTTCTGCAGGCAAAGAGACTACATAGAGAGACAGGATGCCTGAGTGAGAAAGGGGTCACATGAGAGCTACTCCAGTGGCAAGCTCCATGTGGGGCTGCACTGTTAAATGGAGACATCATCCATTTAGCTCTGATATGGCATTCATTCTGCTAAATTGAAGTGTCAATACAGAACAATCTTCCGTCCTCAGCCTTGCTTTTCTCCATAAACTGAAAGGTCAGGACCTTAAGATTCCACATGATTAAAAGAGCAAGCCAATCAGTTCATGTCCTCTGTGTCAGGCTCCTGACTTGTTCCCTCTTTTCTCCTTCTTCTGATGTCCAGCCTCTTTGCCTTTCTGGATAGGAATTGAGCATTTTAGCAAGAGTCCTCCCTCTTGATTAGTCTCTTTAATTACCTCCCCCTGAGGGAGAAGCAGCATTACCAGGCCACAGAAGAAGACAATGCAGCCACTCCTGATGAGACCTAATTGACTAGGATCAGAAGGAAGGATAAGAAGTCCTCCCCTATCAGTGGACTTGGGGAGGGGCATGCATGCAGAGGGTGGAGGAAGGGAGGGATTGGGACGGGAGGAGGGAGGGAACCACGGGGGGATACAAAGTGAGTAAAGTGTAATTAATAAAGAAAAAAAAAGATTCCAAATGAAAACTTTGTAATTTCTCCTGAATGTATGTTTCTGCAGTTCAGATATGCTATAAATAATAAAAAATTCATTTACTTAATGTCTTGTATTGTTAATTTATATTTAAAATCATACATGCAGCTGCACATGGTGGCACATGGCTATAATTCCTCACTTAGGAGGTACAAGCAAGAGGAGTTCAAGGTCACCTTCAGCTATACAGTGAGTTTTAAAAACACACTATATGTCTTAAACAAACATAAAAACAGAAAGAAGATTATGGAAGAAATGAAATTAAGTTATAAAAGACTCTAAATTTTTATTTTTTTAAACTCAGTTTGCATCTAACTTGTGATATTAATTAGAAAAGAGAGCTAAAATTTGTTCGTTATTAATCTAATTGTGCCTTTGTTTAACTGATTCTTTGTAATAACTTAGGAATTTTTTTTTCAATTTTATTTTCCAGCCTAAGTTTGAGGAGAAGAACTATTTTCTATTTGGGATCTTATGTGGGCTCTCCTTATGCAATTTAAAGGCTGTCAACCTTCCTTTTCCATTGGCTTTATATAAGAAACTTCTGAACCAAAAGCCATCTTTGGAAGATTTAAAAGAACTCAGTCTTCCCTTGGGGAAGTAAGTACATATAATTTGTTTTTTAAAAACAGCATTAAGTCTCAGCTTTTTAAGCATAAATAATATCACACACCAAGAGACATAGGGCAAGGTCTTAAATTTTAATATTATGGGCTCTTTAGATGAGTTTCTGTTAGCATGACTTGCAATAGAGTAAGCCTTCAGAAATGAAAAAAATCCAAATTTTCCTCAGATCATAAGAACTAATCCAATAAAGAATTTGGATATAGGCTTTTTATAAAGGTAGAATGTACTTAGGGGAATTCACAGGATGTGTATGGGTCATCTTTCATTTTGTCCTTTTCTGTTTTGAATGTTTTGATCGGGGTCCAACTCCTGATCTCCTCCCTCTTAGACAAGAGTATCTACTGAGCCATCACCTTAGGCATCTGGTTGTTTTAACTCTCTTTGTGGGAGGTTGTTCTGAGCATGGGACATATTTAATAGTATCTGGGGTTACTACTCACTAGATGACAACCTTAAACTGTGACAACTAAAGACACTTCCAAACTTTGCAAAATAAATTCTCCACACTTTAGAATCACTGAACACTGCTTTATATAATCATTTTCACAACACAGCAGTATCAACGAGGTAGAGTAGACTACCAAATCAAATTGTAAGTTGAGATTATCTGGGAAGATGAGTGAAAGAGAGTAAGAGAGGAAATTTACACTGAATTTTGTGAATGTCTACATTACTTAAAATTTCCCCATTGAATCATAATTACTTTGGAATTTTATAATATCAAATATATCAATTAAAATTACATTTTTCAATAGGAGTTTGCAAGAAGTTCTAAATTGTGAGGCTGGTGACATTGAAGAACTTCACATATATTTTTCTGTGAGTAGCAAGAAATCTAGATTATAGGTTGTCTGTAATCTGATTTTTTGGGGGGAGCAGATTGCTGGAGGTCGAACCCAATAAAGTATTATATTACTAATATATATCCCCAGCCCTTATCTGTTATTTTAAAAACAATTTTATTATAGAACCTTTACTATGGAATATCCATTTTTTAAAGATAATATATCTGTGTAAAGTTTTTCTCAACCTGGTCTTCATTTATATACCTTGCATCTACAGGTTCCTAAATATGGATAAAGCATTAATTTAATGCAAACAATAATCTCAACGAAATAGGGCAATTGGTGTTTGAAATATATATATATATATATTATATATATACACACAACATGTATATATATGTGTGTGTGTATATATATATATATATATATATATATATATATATATAACATGTATTAATGAGGATATAAAATTTTTATTTGCCAGGGCATTGTAGGTGAAGACTTTAACCCCAGCACTGTGGAGGCAGAGGCAAGGAATCTCTGTGATTTCAAGGCCAGTCTGGGCTATATAACAAGTTCCTGTCCGACCTAGAGAGACCCTGTGTCAAAATCTTTAAAAAAAAAACAAAAAACAAAAACACGAGTGCATGCATGTGTGCATGTGTGTGTGTGTGTGTGTGCGTGTGTGAAATTGAGTTGTGTGTGGTGGTGCATCCTAGAAGGAGGTAGATGCAAGACAATAGCAAGTTTGAGGCCAGCTTGGATTATCACATAAAACAAAAGACTGAACTGAAATCTGATCATCTATCTCCAGTCATTTTAAATTGTATAGGAAAGATGTTTGGACAGTAATTGTAGACCTATGCTTCTCAGTCAATTACATTTTGTTACAGATATACTGGAATCAAAAAGACGTTGATTTAATTCCAGATGGCATCTCTGTACCTGTGAATGAAACCAACAAGTAAGATTAGAGACCTAAAATATCTACTTTGAATAGGCATACACATTTCTATCAATACAATTTAAAATATATTTGAGCTTCTTGAACATTCGTTTTAGTTTTTTGTCTAATGAATGCTAAAGAGGCAGGAGAAGAGAAGAAATGATTCATGAATAAATATTTCTGTCATCAAAGAAATCTTTTTAGTCCCTATTCTTTGTCACATCTGTGGGTGGCTTTCTTGTTGGCAGCATCCTGAGTGTGAGAGGGCAGCACCTGACAGACATAAGGAACATGAGCGTGGATTTGGGTCTTCTTCCCTCACCTTATAAGGCTACCAGAGTTCAATCATGGTGCTCTACTGTGATGATTTTATGTAACTCTAACCATGCTCCAAAGACCCCACCATAAACACTATAGTGAGATCAAGTTTCTATCTTCTTCATACCACAATGAGAGAAATAAACTTCAACACATAAATCCTTGCTGGACAGAGTCAAACCTCATGCACACTGTACCCATTGCAGCTAGAAAGTCTATCATACTGTGAAAAGTGCATCCTATAATACAAGGCTGACCTCGCAGAACTCATTTCTACAAAGTGATCTGCTGGAAAAAAAGATTTGGGGAGGAAAAGAAGGGCCAACCCTTCTTTTCATTTCTGTTTTCATTTCATTTTCATATGAAAATCTGATGATGGTATAAAAATTACAAAGAAAGATGAAGCATGCTATGCTGGAGAGAATGTTTACTGCATGGTTCCATACCAACAAGAGGCAGAAAGATAAAGGCATCAGAGAGGAATGTGTAGAGGCAAAGTAGCAAGGGCCAAGAGATTGGACTTATCCCATCAGCTTCCTGTGATGTGAAAGCACATGACATTCCATAGTCATTAGACTCTACAAATGGTGGATTTTTTGATCATTCTCTCTGTGGTACAATTCTTCCATACAATGCTGGAGAGCAGCTATTGAGGAAAAATGGCTAAGCTATAATGTGTGTTAGGTTAGATGTAGTAAATGCATTTTTTCATGTATAATGACCTCATTGGGACATGTCCCTGTTGAAAGTCAACTAGTGCTCATATTCAGATTGCAGTTACAATTGCTCCTTGCAATAAGAAAAATGAGAACACCCTAAAGTCTGATTCCTTCTCTAAGGACCTTTCTTCCTAGTTGGCCAGGTTTTCATCTCCCTGTATTGCATATACTTGTGATTTACACAGAAAAAAAATACTTTTCTTTCTCAATAGAGTGAAAGGAACAAAATAGACATATTGTAGTCACTGATAAGATTTGTCATAGTTTTTTATTTTTCTTCCCTCAAGGAAAGACTATGTTTCTAACTGTGTCAATTACATTTTTAACATCTCTATAAAGACAATTTATGAGGAATTTCAAAGAGGATTTTACAAAGTGTGTAACTGGCATATAATTAGGCAGTTCCAGCCTGAAGAACTAATGACAGCAATAACTGGAAATGTTAATTATGACTGGAAACAATTTGAAAATGTAAGTGACAACCTAAGTGCCCTCTAACTTTTCCAAATAGCTGATACCTATCCCCCTAAAACTTTCTCTAACTCTTTTTTTCTCTTGTTCTCAAGAATTCACAGTATCACAATGGATATCACAAATCACATCCAACTATTCTACTGTTTTGGAAAGCTTTCCATGAATTAACTTTAGATGAAAAGAAAAAATTTCTCTGTAAGTACTATAATATATATTAGTTATTAATCTAATAGATTGTTCTTAGTGGCAAGACACATATATTCACAGCATGAATTCGTAGAAGAAAAAATTCAAATGTCATGACTTTTCTAGGATTTACTTGCCCTTGTGCAGCCTTCTCTGAACAACAAAAAAAGTGTACTCAATATTTATTAATGTAACCATTAGTTTCCTCTTATTTATCTTGAGTTATTCTGCATGAAATATCTCAACAAAATTGTATTTTTTTCTAGTATTTCTTACAGGATGTGACAGGCTACATGTAAAAGGCCTACACTGGGAAGGAATAGTATTCCGTTGTCCTGAAACCTTCACTGAAAAAGATGACCCAAGATCATTGACGTGTCTCAATATTCTAGACCTGCCTAAATATTCTACAATGAACAGAATGAAGGAAGCACTTCAAGTTGCAATCAACAGTAATAAGGGATTTGTCTCAGAGGAATGATGCTGATCACCTCCCAGAAGTTCAGATGGCCTCAGAAACTAGGTCTTTGATTTTGGGGTTCTTCTGTTTTTCCTTAATCTAATTAGTGCAAGAGGTTACACGATTTTACTTAAAATCAGTTGGACAGTTTTTGAGATAAATAAGTTATAAATTAATATTGTAGTTAAACAAAATTTTGTAAAACATTTGCTGTATTCCTTCCTAAACTTGCTATTTTACAATGCTTGTTTTGTCTGAATATTTTCTGAACAACAATTATCACTTAATAATAAACTAAATTTTAAAATTATTCAGTATTGGTGGCTAAAGAGAGAGGTCAGTGGTTAAGATCACTGGCTGCTCTTCCAAAAGACCAAGGTTCAATTCCCAGCACCCACCTGGCTGTTCCTATATCTCACCTGTAACTCTAGTCCTTGGGGATCCAACTTTCTTTTCTGGCCTTCAAGACACTGCATGGATATAGTACTCAGACACCCATGCAGACAAACACTCATGCATGTAAATTAAAAATAAAATGAAAAATAAATAAAATAGCATTTATTTAAAAAGTTACTGTACATTAAACTATTAATTTGAAAGAATCATAAGTTTGAAAAATAAGCAAAAAATACACTGCTTTCAACATGTTTTGAAGCATATAGATGTAGATTTTGTATTAAGGATATCTTTAGAGTTCTAAATTTAGTAAATGCTAACTAATTTATTTTTATTATCTCAGTGTTGATGTATATGGTTCTTTGAACATATTTATACTTAGTTCAGTATTCCAGAAGTAATTCTAAGTGTAGATAATGTTGTTTTGGTAAAATACTGAGCCCAGTCATGAGCTCATACCTACTTGAACTTAGAAAAAATGTGAAGAAGTTGAAACATGCTATAGAAGTTGAAATGATGCTATAGAGTAAATTAACGAAGCAACATAACTATTATGGAAAATAACCAATACATCTCGTATACCACTTTTACTAAATGTTAAAACGTAAATTGCATTATACAACTTTGAAATGATTTTATAAACTCATATAATTTGTCAGAAGACTGACCTACAGGCTGCTGTGACAGGTTCTCATTTAAAATTTCCTTTCCTGTAAGGATATTGTTTAACATCTTACCAGACTTCACATGTGAGCTGTTTACTAGACTACAGAGACACCAAATAAATTACTAAAAATAGATCTTTAAAGATTATAAAATGACTATCACCAACAGCAACAACAAAACAAGTAAGTCGCCAGTAGACGGGATACTCTCTGAAGCCAGCTTTGCTCCAGTACCACACAAAGATGTCACAGAGAGAGAAAACTGTAGGTATCATATGAAGCAGACACCAAAATCTTTCACTAAATTTTAACGTACTGAGCACATCCAGGAAAATGGGAAAAGGATAATGCCTTACAACCAAATATGAAGTAAGGCAAAAATGCTCTTAAAATCAACTGTTTTCATCAGATTCATAGGAAAGAATGCCTGTGTAATACCTGAGAATAGGTAGAAAAGAAACTGGGCAAAATTTAACACCTAGTCATGTAAAAAGCAAACAAAGGCTAAAGGAATCTGCGAACTTGATGAAAACCTCTATACAATTAATTTCTTTTTTTTAAATAAATAAATTAGCATTTTATTTTATTTTATTTTGAGATATTATTACATCAATTTTATTAACCCTCATCTCAAAGTAAATTGTTCCATTAGTTTATGTTAAGTTATAATTTGTGGAGATCAAAGGCCACTAAATTATTTTACAATTAATTTCTTAATGGCAAAAGAGTGAATGCGGAGGCGGGGCAAGATGGCGGTGCCGGGAGGACTCTCATTCTGAGCAGCAGCAGCAGGATCAGCACAGTGACCAGCAATCAGAACTCGTGGCCATAAAACACAGTCATTATGTATCCCAGGTGAGAGAGATACCCCACCGTGATACCACCGTGAGATACTCCACGGTGGGGGATTCAATCAGCTTTTAACTCACCAGGCTATACCTCGGAAGAGATCCCGGTTCCACCAGACACTTGGCTGCCAGCCACCAGCCCCAGCCCCAGCCCAGAGCCACAAGCCAGTGTCTCTGGTCACTGTCCCAGAATAAACCGTGCGTACCACACTATCAGAGACTGGAATTTTCAGTCGAGAGATAACCCCACGGTACAGGAAACGATTGGGACCGACCTTAGGTCACCCAGACATCCCCTGGAAAAGACTAGGGTTCCATGGGCGCCCCAGGAGCCAGCCCGGAGCCAGAGCCGGGGACCCAGGCTCCGGCACAGAGCCCTGCCTGCCTGCGTGCCTAATTCGCCGCCTGAGATAGAACTGTGGGCACCAGGGCACCAGCAAATGAATTTCACTGTCCGGTGCAAACACACAGGGAGGGAAACAGCTGGTCTGATCTCAGAGCACTCAGCCGACACCCCCACCCCGAAAAGGTCTCAGAAAAATTACCCAGTTTAGGCAGACACCCAGGCTCCCAAAGGCCGGAAAGGCAGACACAGGCAGTTTCTGAGCTCCAGACAGTTGGCGGAGACTGAGCCGCCATCACTCAGCTGTGCTCCAGACACAGGCAGTTTCTGCGGCCAGCCAGCTGGCAGAGACTGAGCAGTGCACACCAGGGCAAAAAAAAGAGACTGGGAGTCCTTGTCTCCAGAGAATCCACAGGGAAGAAAGGAAACTGTACTGACTTAAATCACCCAATCCTTCCCTGGAAAAAGTCTAGCAAAGACTGGCGGGGCCGAGCCGCCATCACTCAGCTGTGCTCCAGACATAGGCACAAACAGTTGCTGCGCGCCAGATGCCCAACTAGGTCACAGCAGCTGATCATTAAATTTACAGCAAGAAACCCAGAAACAGGGCAGCTGTCCTCAGGACTTCCCTGGGTGAGAGGAGAACCCTCTCGACTAACAAAGACCACAGTTGCCACTCAGGTCTCTATCCCTGAGGTGAGCAGCAACTCCTGAAAAAACGTCAGCCATCCAGGGACTATACCCAAAAAGCTGAGAAGACATCCTTCAGGAAAAACCAGCTTTCTGCAAAGGGGATTCTTTCCACCACAGGATCCCCAGGAACCACCAGAAACTAACCCCAAACACCTAAGATAGCACAATGGGTAGAGGCCAGAGTAAAAGCTCAAGCAACAAAAGACAGAGCAATATGGCATCTCCAGAATCCAGTTACCCAGGGGCAAGTAGCCCTGGACACCTCAGCATAACTGAAATCCAAGAAGATGACCTAACAACTATGCTCATGAAGCTGATAAAACAGGAAACAAACAAGATACGTAAAGACATAGAGGAAGATAAACTCAAACAGAATATAGCCATCCATAAAGAAATAGAGGAAGTTGCAGCCAAACATTTATGGCCTTTAGAAAGGAAATGCTTAAAGCACTGAATGAAATAAAAGAAACAGAGTTGAAGGAACTAAAAAAAAAAAAAAAAACAAAAAAAAAAACAGGAAAGTACAATCAGACAGGTGAAGGAAGTAAACAAAACAACTCAAGACCTGAAGATAGAATTGGAAAAATTAAAGAAAACACAAATGGAGGAAATAATGGAAAGGAAGAATCTAGGGAAGAAAACAGGAACTACAGAGGTAAGCATAACCAACAGAATACAAGAGATGGAAGAAAGAATCTCAGGTGTAGAAGATACAATGGAAGAAATGGATGTATCTGTCAAAGAAAATGTTAAATCCAAAAAATTCCTGACACAGACCGTCCAAGAAATCCAAGACAATATGAAAAGATAAAACCTAAGAATAATAGGTATAGAGAAAAAAGAAGACTCCCTTCTCCAAGGCCCAGAAAATATTTTCAACAAAATCATTGAAGAAAATTTCTCCAAGTTAAAGGAGAGGCCAAAAAGAATACATGAGGCCTACAGAACACCCAACAAATTTGACCAGAAAAGAAAATCCTCCCATCACATAATAATCAAAACACTAAGTATACAGAACAAAGAAAAAAAAAAAAAAACCTAAAAGCTGCAAGGGAAAAAGGCCAAATAACATATAATGGAAAACCCATTAGAATCACACCTGACTTTTCAACAGAGACTATGAAAGCCAGAAGGGCCTGGACGAATATCATGTAGACCCTAAGAGAACACAGATGTCAGCCCAGGCTACTATACCCCACAAAACTCTCAGTCCTCATGGATGGAGAAAACAAGATATTCAATGACAAAAACAAATTTCAACAATACCTACAAACAAAGCATTACAGAAGACACTGGAAGGGAAAATACAACCCCGCAAAATTAGCTTTTTTCAAGAAAACACAGGAAATAATTAACCTTACTACAGTAAAACAAAAGGCAACCAAGCACACAACCTGATGACCACAGCCAACGTCAAAATCAAGGGATCTAACAGCCACTGACCATTAATCTCTTTCAACATCAATGGACTCAACTCTCCAATAAAAAGAAACAGATTAACAGAATGGATACGTAAACAAAACCCAGCAATCTGTTGCATACAAGAAACACACCTAAGACACAAAGATAGACATTACCTGAGGGTAAAAGGTTGGAAGACGACTTTCCAAGCAAACAGACCCGAGAAGCAAGGAGAAGTAGCCATTCTAATATCTGATAAAATAGACTTTCAACCAAAATTAATAAAAAGAGATGGGGAAGGACACTTCATACTCATTAAAGGAAAATTCCACCAGGAAGACATCACAATCCTGAACATCTATGCCCCAAATACAAGAGCACCCACATTTGTTAAAGAAACATTGATAAAATTTAAACCACATATAGATCCCCACACATTAATAGTGGGAGACTTCAACACCCCACTCTCAACAAAGGACAGGTCAACAAAACAGAAATTAAACAAAGAAACAATGTCTCTGACAGAGGTCATGAATCAAATGGACCTCATAGACATTTACAGAACTTTACACCCAAACACAAAAGAATTTACCTTCTTCTCAGCACCTCATGGAACCTTCTCCAAAATAGACCATATAGTTGGTCACAAAGCAAGCCTCAACAGATACAAGAAGATTGAAAGAATCCTTTGTATCTTGTCTGATCACCATGGAATAAAGCTGGACCTCAACAATAACAGAAATAGCAAAAAGCCTACACACACATGGAAACTGAACAACTTGTTACTAAATGACAGCTGGGTCAGGGAAGAAATAAAGAAAGAAGTTAAAGTCTTTCTAGAAATCAATGAAAATGAAGACACAACATACCCTAATTTGTGGGACACAATGAAAGCAGTGCTAAGAGGAAAGGTCATAGCACTAAGTGCCTTAAAGAAGAAATTCGAGAAAGCTCATTCAAGCAA